CCCCATTTATTAGATAGAGTATTCACCCCTCATAGAACTAATACGTTGTATCGCGTACACTATAAGCCTTAGTTGGGATCCCGTTGCATGCTCGTACGGAATTTAGTCTCTTGCCTATTGGCGTGACGGTAGAGGAATCGTCACAAACTCCATGTCTCGGAGGGATCTTTGAAATTGTCAACTACAGCCCAAGAGTTTTCAAACAATTCGTGGGCCAGGCTATGGCCTTTACTCGATGCTGCATTTGCTAGATAAGTAATTACTATATATATCAGAGTATACAAGGCATTTGCCTAGAATATATAGGGAATATGCCTTGATAAAATGAGAGTCAACAGCGCCAGAGTGAACAGCCAGCTGTCAGGCACAGGTAAGGATGTTGTATTGTGGAAGTGGGTGCCCGCTAAATAAGGGGTGCCTACCTAGTATAGGTGACACCAGCTGCCAGCGTCAACAGCGCTAGAGTTAACAGCGCTAGAGTTAACAGCGCTAGAGTTAATAACTAGCGCCAGAGTACATAGCCTAATATATCTGTATATTCCCAATAAATAGTAGGCATATGCTAGGTGTATACTAAATAATTAGAGCAGCTGTTACACATCTGCAATAGAGCATCTTTTTTCTGCCATTTTGCCCCACTTCGACCAAGGTTGAGGTTTCTTCGACCAAGGTTGATGTTCGACCAAGGTTGAGCTCGCCCCCCATAGGTGTGCCCTAAGACATTGCCCACTTCATGATAGAACACAGTGTATCTGCGAAATAGGTCCGGCCACCTTTCTGGCCCAGGCTGTACCACGGAGTGTGATACACGTTTAAGAAGAGCTCAGGCTCCTCTGACTGTATATCCCCCAGGTAGTCGACGGAAATGTCAAATCGAAGAAAGCAGAAATAATTCTGCGCTGCATGCAGGATGAAGATGCTATAAAGAGTTAGAAGCAGCCCAACAATCACTCGCAGTGGACAAGTCATTTCGCCAAATTCAACGTACCTGTCGTAGGATCCCACGTTCGCAAATTTCCAGGTCAAAGCCTGGCAAGTCATTTGCGCGAGGCAGGAGTCGGATATGATCGGTCGGCCCTCTTGGAAGCACTGCAGTCTCCTCTTGGCTTCCAGCATCAGGACGTGATCATTGGCCGTCATGTACACCAACCTTTGAGGCTTTTGCGGGTCGCCGTGGCTGGCCAACACTAGGGGCTTTCGCAGGCACAAGCCGCCGTCGTCCACGGCGACGAGCGAGTGGGAGCCAGTTATCGCCGCGAGCCTTATCTTGGCGTCACGGACCTCGATGACGGCGCCGGCTGTGTTCGGCTCATTGTTGGGCGGCGCAAAGTACAGTACGTGGCGGAGCGCGCAGGTAATCAGGCGCAACGTGTCGTCCTCGGGCCCTTCGGCGAGGGCGTGGCTCTCCATGTGTACGTAGCCGAGTGTGCTTTGGGATGATGCCTCGATGGGGCTGCTTGACTCAATCTCCATCTTGCTCGAGTCAACAAATCCCTCCTGCCTGGTGCCGCGTCGGGCATGCTTCGGCCTTCTGGCGTAATCGCCGCCGCCATCGTTGTTATTCCCACTGCCATCGTTGTTATTCCCACTGCCATCGTTGTTATTCCCGTTGTCATCGTTATTCCCGTCGTCATCGTTATTCCCGTCGTCATCGTTATCCCCGTTACCATCACCGCCTTGGCCATCATCGGGAGGGGAAACGAGCTGGCGGCGCTCGGGCGGGCCCAGGAATGTCGCCAGGGCGGCCCAAAGCTGCCCCAGAGAGTGGCCGTATTCCTTCACCAGGGCGAGCTCGCTGCCACCCAAGTGCGCTGGATCCGTGGGCCCGTTCAAAAATGCCGTCATTTCTGTATTATGCTTTTACTTCTCCGCAAAAGGCACTAAAAGTGATTGTTGTTGGTTGAGCTGTTTCGGGAGAACCCGACAAGCAAAGAGGTCCTTGCGACCCTACTCGCTGGCGGGTGTATTCTTTAGTTCTGAGAACGATCGTCCCTTCTCGGTACGATACTGATTGTTAAAGGCGTTCGGAGAGGTGATGCTTTGCAAATAGGGTGTGGGAGACATGATCAGTAAGTAAAGTGTTGAGTAGTGAGGATTTTGAAGTTGTTGGGTCAAGGTCAGGGTTGTGAAAATAAGGGTTGTGAAAGGGCAGTAGCGAACTGAAACGGAAGTAGTGATAGAGATCGTGAATTCTGATCAGAGGTCTAGTCTCGCCTCTGGCTTGCCTTTATATAGCAGATATCTAGCATGTGACACGGCTTGTGGTGTGACAGTAAAGGACGTGGCCATGATGTTTACGGAAAGAGGCTCACATGAACCCCCTCGCAGCTGACCTTTATTGTATGCGTGTGGTGAGGCGCGTCTGAGGGTTCTGCATACAATTAGGCGGAAGTTCTCGATTTTTCGATATTTCGCATAAATCTGCCTATTTAGGTCACGGCTAGGCAGCCAAGTTACACTGAGGGTAACACGCCTCGTAACCATGTGGGGGACATATTGAACCGGCCCTTCTGAGAAAGCACCTCGTTTCTAAACCCGTCGTTTTTCTGGACATAGACTGTTTAAATAAATACAAAAAAAAATATATGATAAGTGTGAAAATGATTAAAGATATAACTTATGTTTTTTTTTAAAAAAAAAAAATTACTACTTTACTTGCTCTCGCGTGTATTTATTATTAATAAGACAGTATCGAGAATCGACGAGAGCCGTTTTTTTTTTGTTCCCTCTTGGTAACCTACAAATAATGTTGGCGCAATACCTGGATCCAGTTAGTGCAGCCAATCAGCTATATAGGAACAAGGGGCTCATACAGTGACGTCGACGGAGACGAAGTGGGGCCAAGTCTCGCGGCATCATTAACGCGCCATCTGCCAACAACGCTGCCGACAACACTGCCAACAACGCTGCCAACAAACCCCGCCAAACACAGCTAATAAGTCTGCTATTAGCACTTCTGAGGAGCTGCTTAAAGCGCCGTCAGAGACGGCTGCTAGAGATGCAGATGGCGTGCGAAGAGGTAATGGTGACGGGTTTGGCCAGCGCAATGGCGAGAGGTGATGGCGAGTCTTGTTCAGGAGCTACCTCGAAATACTACGATCCCATTGGCTAAATCCCAAGTAGGCATAGTTTACCTACCTAGCTACGGATGCCTGCCTTGCGCTTTAAGATGCTGTGAGCCCTCGTCTTATGCTGTGGATTTATTTGCTTGAGCTTGGATTCTGCGGATCGCACACAACATGCTGTGCGCACTCGTCGTATGCTGTGTAAATATTTGGTTGAGCTTGGGCTCTTCGGATACTCGCCTTGCACAACAACATGCTGTGAACACTCATCGTCTGCTGTGGATTTGTTGTTGTTTGTTTGTTCTTCTCTGTGTTCCCCGTGTTGCCCGTCACACGATCAACATGCAATGCGAGAATGCTAGCATCCCTATTATATCAGAGTCTTTATACCATGCCAGAATTATATAGTATAATATAGATATGAAATCATGATCAGTTCTTTTTTTCTTCTATCGTTTTCTTCCTCTTCTTCTCTTCTTAGTTCTTTCTTCTTCAACAATCAGCTAGCTAGGCAGCAAACGCATTGGGCGTAGACCAGCTGTTGAAGCCCTTTCCAAAAACACCTCTCTCGCGCGTAGGTAGCTTGCTTAGTCTTGATAAGATTGATTCTCATGGCTTCTGTTATTCTTCTCATTCTGCTTGTCAATCTTCCTTCTGCTGATTTTTTTTAATTTCCCTTATTGTTCGGCCGCCGCCGTCGCAAAACCAAGACTCACGGCCCCTGTTTGGGCTGCGCTGGCAAAGCTAGCTAGCTAAAGCTGGCTGCTTTTCTGGCGTTGAAAGTGGAATGGTAAACGTACAGGATAAAAGCAGAAAACAAGAGAGAGAAGAAAATCACTAGCAGTTTTATATTCCCAGACGGCTTTCTTTTCTTGATCGCCTTTCGAATCAAATCAAACGCCTAACATAGCTGAGAGCATAAGAAAAGCCTACGCAGGTACACCCACTGTACCTGTGGCATCACGTGAGCTACCTACCTAGATGGGGTCGTAACTCACCTGAGGGTACCTCAGTGAGTTAAGCTAAGGGAGGGCACCCTTAGCTAAGGTCCCCCCTACTTTAAAAATTTATATAAGGTATAACCCGTTAGTTAACTATACTAGATATATAATAAAAAGATAAATATATTTATTAATTAATAGAGAATTAATCTCTACTTAATATATACTTAAAATATATAGGCTTTATTAATAATATAACTAATTCTAAACCTATTATTATTTTATTATAAATATATTATAATAAGTATACTTTTACCTCTTTATATAATAGCTTTATATAAGAATTTTATAGGTTATTAAGTATATTTAAATAGTAAAACTTATTAAGATAACCTCCTTAAATATAAATTATTTAGTATAAAAGTAATTATTTATTTAAATAAAGTTTATTATTATTTTTAACTAAATAACTTAACTCTTTACTTAAAGTTATAACTATTTAGTTTATAATTAAATCTTTAATATTATATTTAATATTACTAATTAAAGATTTACTAATTTATCTCTAATATATTAATATTATAATAGTAGTTAGAAGTTATAAATTAATATTAATAATTTTCTAATAATTATAAAGGCCTAAAGGTTATAATAATATATAATTAATTATTAATAAGTTAAGAATAACTTATAAACTAATTACTAATTACTTAGTAAATATAATTTTAATATCTTTAATTAAGTAAATATAAAATAAATACTATAAAAAGTAAAACCTATAAGTTAAGTAGTAATAACTAGTTAAGAACTAATTATTAACTTATTTTATATTATAATTACTAACCTTCTTATTAATAAGTAATTCTAAAATAAATATAATAAATAGTTAAACTTATAAGTAAAATACTTAAGAAAAGATTATTAAAAGGCTATAGATTTATCTTTAACTTATTTTAATTAATAATAATCTAGAAGATAAACTTTAAGTAAATCTAATAAAAGTCTAATATAATATCTATAAAAGATATTATTATAGATAAAGAATAAGAATTAGTTAGTAACTATTTACTAACTAGTTTAATAGTTTATTAACTTATATTAAAAGACTTTATTAAGCTAAAAAGAAGAATATATAAAGAAGGTAATACCTAAGCTTTATATACTAGTAATAAAATTAGGTTAGATTAATCTTTATTATATAAAAGTACTTAAGAATCT